CTAACAATAGCGGGGCCCTATGCAGAACGGATTGCGCGGGGCCTAGTCTGGGTAGGAATAAGCATACTGTCAAAACTAAGATTTAGTATTAGAAAATACATTAGGGGGCGCGCTGAGTGGCTAAGCGCTCGGCTTCGAACCATGGGTCCTGGGTTCGAATCTCGGTGAAGACTGGGATTTTGAATTTCGGATTTTTAGCGCGCCCCTGAGTCCACCCAACTTTAATGGGTACCTGACTTTAGTTGGGGAAAGTAAAGGCGGTTGGTCGTTGTGCTGGCCACATCACACACTGCATGTTAACCTTTGACCATAGAAACAGATCACCTTAACATCATCTGTCCCATAGATCGCAAGATCTGAAAGGAAAACTTTACAATTAGAAAATACATTCGTCTTTGCAATTAATTTTTATAAAAGGAATGCTCACAATGCCCTTTTTATTTAATGGCATTCCAAAATGACAATTTTGTCTATTTTTTTTTCAGTAGATTTTAATGTAGGTCACAGTTGGGGCTGTAGGCCACCGAAAATACTGCATTCCTCACTGATCTTCGGACTCGAAGACAAGCCTTATTATTATTATAGTAGGAAGACATCACACAATTTTTACCGACAGATTACCAGTAAGAAGTTCATCATATCAAATGTTTAAACATACATTACTCTTCATCTTTAAGGAACTATCTTCTGTGTTCAGATTGGTAGATTCAGATGTAACCACGAGTAAGAGTTACTAGCGGATTTATTTTTAGTTTGAATTTTACGTTTTGCTTTCGTTTCAAATCTAGATCTTAACAAAAAATGTTTTTTTTTTTTTGGGGGGGGGGGGTTTGGGGGGGGGGGGGAGGGGGGGTTGATTCTCAGTTTTTGGTCAAAGTCTTGTCAAATATTGTAACAGTTTTTTTTTTGTTTTAAAGCTCCACGAGGAAGTACAATATTTATATGCACACGTGTGTGTGTGTGTGTGCGCGTGTGTGTGCATTGAAAGGTCGATAACTCATAGGACTTACCCCACCTTTTCTGGCAGTTTTCCTTTCTGCTTGGATTACTGAAGTCAATGTGACCCCAACCTACTGAAGATCATGGGACGTTATATTTAGTGCAGATTTTTTTTTTTCACTTTTGTTTTTAAAGAAGAAAAAAAAACATGAATGGACTAAGTGGGTCAAAGAAGGAAGTTATTTTTCTTTTAGTTTTTTTCCCCTTTTCTATGAGAGCTACACCCCGAGCGGTTAGGTATTTCGCAATCTATCTTAATGACCACCAGGAAGTGTTTGGGACCTGGGAATGGTAGAACTGGAAGAGCTGAAATGGTAGCCCGAGGCTCAACCGTGCAAGTGGTTGGTGACATTGTTTTTTTTTCTTTTCGGAGAAAAGGAAAAACCGGAAGTGTGCGAGGGTAATTCAGAGCAGACGTGAAATTGGAAATTCTTTTTCTTGGAGATAACTAAAAATGTCAAAGTAAGGGAGAAGGACGCTGCTGTGGGGGTGGAAGCATTTATATTTTAAACCTAACTTTGCGCCAGCATTTAGCAATAATGTCGTTTGACTTCTGCTGTAAGTTTGAGTAGTTCTGGGTTGTTTTATTTTTCAAGTCTACTGGAGTGGGCGAGTAGAAACAAAAAAAAAAACAAAAAAAAAAAAACAGCAGCAATCTTTAAACTTAGATTTCACACCATAACAACACACTGAAGAACGTGAACGAGATACAAATACTGGCAACAAATTGTGAAATGATTTTGAACAATTTTATCTATTGGGGAATTCCCAAATGAACTAAATAGGAAGCTAAATTGAACATCAATGTTGGAAGTTAAATTGAACATCAATGTTGGAAGTTAAATTGAACATCAATGTTGGAAGCTAAATTGAACAGCAATGTTGGAAGCTAAATTGAACATCAATGTTGGAAGCTAAATAAAACAAATTGAGCTTCACATGGAAGAGATGAGAACAGTTGTAACTGCAGTCTTAAATTGTCATATAATCATCATAATAATCATATAACTAATGAATACCTCCTTTAGTCTGTACAGCGGATACACACACGAAATCCAGCTATTGATAGTTACTCCACCATAGATAATGATCTCTAATGTGTAAAAACAAAGATGAGTCAAATAAAAGAAAGAATAATCTATCGCGGTAAATAGTCTATCCATCATCTATATATATAATTCTCTTCTTCCCTCAACAGTTTGGACGAGAAGAAGAAGTAAAGGAAAGATCACGCTCTTATTTCTGCAATTTTGTTTTTGAGTTTTCAAAAGATTTTAATAATTTGCGGATATTTCCATGACCTTTTCGTTTATTTTGCCATTTCAGGAGATTTCAAGAAGCTCCTGGTAAATCAAGAGGCTGCGGGAATTCTGTTCTAAGTTATAAAATGGTTTAATTTAATACTTTACACCTAGAATTAGCGCGGGTCCTTTGAAAGTGCGGGGCACACTGCGGTAAGATAGGGGCCCAAGGCCGCCCTGCAAAATTAACGGCGCATTTTACGCTGTGTGTCGACTAGTATTAGATAATCTATCAGTCATGTTAGATGCGATGTGTAGCCTCGTGAAAGTTTGACTCTCCCACGTTAAAAAACCTCACCAGCTCTTTGATCAACTCTGACTTTCTGCTTGAAGTAGGTTTGTAGATTGTTGGGTATGTTTTTTTCTTCAAATAGAAATGACTCATTTTTAGAAACTGGTAACGCCCGAAATAAACAAACAGTTTTTCTTTTTCTCCTCAAATTCAGAGGCATCTCCGTCTGCTCTTACACTCAAGCAAAAGTGACACTTTCCAGTACATCTAAATCAGTGATTCCCAAAGTGGTCTATATAGACCCCCCCAGGGGTCTAGGGGACAAAAAAATTTGGGAACCACTGATCTACATTGAAATGTTTGGCTTATATATATTTGTTTTCGTTAATTAAAACTTTTTTTTGTGTGTGTTTCGCTACCGTCATTTGCTTGAAGTTGAAAACCTTAACAAGACTTGTTGTGTTCAGATCACTTTCTAACACTGTGACATTCAGATCTGGGCGAAGTGGTCGGCTAGTACAGAGAGATGTAAAAAATCCTTTAGGCTATTTCAATGGGCCTCATTCACAAATCGTAAATAAACACATTTAGACACGTCATAATATTGATAAAACAATGAAAAATACGTATCACGTGACAGCCTTTATGGATGACAATTTGTATAGAAGATATAGAGAATCATGTGGCTTAATGTTGTTTGTTTACGATTGGTGAATGAGGTCCATTTCAGTCGACGTGTTGCAAGGCAATTCCTCGTCATCTTAGAAGTGTACACAGAAACCTGATTCCTAAAACCCTGGTTGTGTTCTTAGCGTAGCACCATCAAAGTATTCTATTTATAGTCATCCGAAAAAAAAACACAATAATAATAAAAAAACAATAATAATTAAAACAAGCATCCTTTAAAAAAAAAGGTTATCTAAGGGGCAAGAACTCCATTCATAACATTATGTCTACCAAAAAACTTAGAAGCAATTTTCCTTATTCGATATCAAACTAATTAATTAATTACCAATAATTAATTCACTAATTAAGTATTTTTTGTTTATTGATTCATGTTTTGTTAGCTACAATAAACAATTGTTTAAAAGTTTAAAGTATCAACTTGATCAGAGAATGCGTTGAGGGAGAAGCAACGTTAACGGAAAAATTTAAGGGGACTAAACCCAACAAATTTAGCCACATTTTTTTCTGAATACTGATATAAAACAAAATAATGAATTACCAGTAATCAATTGTCTAATTGGTTACTTTTTTTTTTGTCATTGAATCCTGTCTTGTCTATGTCAATGAATAATTGTGCGAAGTTTCAACTTGATCCGAGAATGGGTGTGGGGGAAACAAGGTGTACACACTTTTGACTATTGACTTGGTAACAGGAAAACAAAAAATAATATTATTCAACTTACTGAATAGATTAAAGTAAAACAATGTAAAAAATACATTTAAAATGGCAATGATTATCTAAAGGGAAGAACCACGAAATCATTGCCTTGTCATTCAATACAAGGTTTAAAAGACCCTTTTCTATATAAAACAAAAAATAACCACTAATTGATTAACTAATTGGTTAATATTTTTTTTATTCATGTATTGTCATCAGCTACGAATAATTGTGCGAAATTTCAACATGTACATGAATTTGTACCAGATAGACAGACGTTGTACCAGATAGATAGACGTGGTCACAGATAGACAGACGTGGTAACAGATAGACAGACGTTGTCACAGATAGACAGACGTGATAACAGACAGACGTTGTACCAGATAGACAGACGTTGTACCAGATAGACAGACGACGTGGTAACAGATAGACAGACCTTGTACCAGATAGACAGACGTGGTGAGTTCGAATAAGATTTGTAAATAAATGTCAACGGTCTCTATTACAGGTACTGCAGCGAGTCAAAATGCAATCGACAGCCCTTGAGCGGATCAGCCCAATATTTCTTTACTAATACATGAAATTGTGTGACATTGATTCAAGTTTATAATATTAAACTTTTCAATCTTCTAAAAAGTGGATTCGTGTTGATTGAATCCTAATTAACGAATCCCAGCAACACTTTGGTTTATACATATCCTAATTTGCAATAACAAGCAAAATTAAAAAAAACAACTTTAAAAAAACAAAAACAAAGCTTATATTAAGTGTAGTGGCATCAATCAGTTTGATTCAGGCAAGTAATTAAATTTGAAATAGATCTAGACTAACAATAATAAATTTGTGCGATTAGAAATATTTGTTCTACTTGTTTTTGTTTAGCACAATTTCATGTTTTTAGCTTTCTCAATAAGCTATGATCATTGACATATATAGATATATAGACTGGACGATAAAGTAAAAATTATTATGGGAAACATTTGGGAAAAGATAAGTTTGTATGAGTTATACAGCAGTTATGAGCAGTGTAAAATTAAAAGTATTTATAGTTTTTTTTTTCAGCCATCACCTATATACCCCTAGAATTCTAGATTTTATATATGCCATGTTTTTTTTTACTATTAAATTTACATTATTAAAATAATTATAAATAGTTTTAAATACTAGATTTAGATCTAGTCTGTATAAATAATATAGTAAAAAATACTACTTACTACTAGTACTATACTACTATACTATACTATAAACTATAATTGTAATCTATATAGTCTAGTCTATAGTCTATAGTTGGTATATAAATGGTCTAGGACTAGATTGTCACTAGATCTTTAATCTATACTTATACTAGATCTAGTCTATAGCCTGCATGCATAGATGATAGACTGACTAGTTTAATAGTTAGTAGTAAAAAGTATGAAAAGTATTAGACCTAGTTATTACAAATATTAGTCATAGTTATTAGATTTAGATCTATCATTATTAAATTAGTGACAGTCACAGTGATACTGAATAATTCTGACTTACTGAAAGTGAAAGTTACTGTGTATAATATTCCATTTTTTTTCAACCTTTAGAATTTATCCTTGGCTTATCGTACTACGAACATTAGAGCACGTTCTGCTAATTTTCTTTGACTTTTTTAAACTAAAAACTAATTCTAACAATTTGAATCGATAAGACGACCGCCATAAATTAATAAAGAAGCCATGTCAACAAACATAGATCCACATCACAAACCTATATATATTTGCCTATGTCTATGATTATGAAACAAAGGCAAAATATTGTGAATATGGCAGTTTGGTACTTTTCAAAACTAAAGATCATAATTATATATTGGCTGAAATGTCAGTCCTAGAGTTTATAGCTCAATTGCCGCCATTTTTTTTCACATAGATTTAGTACATAAAACATATTTGACTCCCCCGAAATAATAAAAACTTCCTACTTCCAGTCTATATTTATTTATGTCTATGGCTATGATCCTATGACTTGTTTGGGCCAGTTGAAAAGGGTGGGAGGAGAAAGAAAAAAAGGTATCTGGGTTATGATGTTATCGCTTTTTAAATGTATTTTTAAAAAAAAAGTTAATGACCTGAATTCGAAGTCGAGGGCCTTCTCAGGCTTCTCAAGCCAACACGGTAACCACTCTTAGTGGAGAGCCTATGAACATGGAAGATTGTGTAGTTATCTATTGTTTTTATAGTCTCGTCCTATTTCTTGTTTGTGTTCACTAAGCCTCAGACGACGACCTACAAAGGGGACAAATTCAGTTTATACCACCTGGTTCAGTCAAGTACAATTTCTTTCCCTTGTTCGATTAGTTCAAAAAATAATTAATTACCAATAGTCAATTAAACTAATTGGTTAATTTATTTTTTTAAATAGATTCTTGCGTTGTCAGGTAAAAGAAGTTATTGTGCAGAATTTCAGCTTGATAGGGTTTAAGAGAAATAACGTGTACACACTTTTTACCAGACAGATAGACAGACAGAGTGAGTTGATATAAGCTTTGTAAAAATATGTAATCACAACTTAACACCAAATCTCAATCTAATAGAAAAATTTGTTGTTTTTTTCCTAGCTGTGTTTAACTGCGATAGATATGGTAAGAAGTTACATAACACACTACTGACTTTCCCCACATCAGCGCCCACCATATATCTTGTGCTGTTGCATTTGGCCGCGCCCTTGAACTTGATCGCGAGTGCTGATAGCGCAGTACAGAAAGGTTAGGCACACTTTTCCAGCGAGCTAAAAACCAAAACGCAGTTCGCAAAGCTTCTAGATGTTTTCCTGGACAAGCCAGCCCCTTGCCTAGAGACTGAAGAACGGTGGATAACAAGCTGCCTGTGCGAGCGTGCGTGCTACTGTGTGTATGAGTGAGTTACTGAGTGAGAGAGAGAGAGAGAGAGAGAGAGAGAGAGAGAGAGAGGTTAATAACAAACTGTGATTACAGCAACACGGCAGAAAACTAAAAAAAATAATAAAGAAAAGATTATACATAAATTATAAAAACATTGAACCGTAATTTATAAATACGTAAAATACAAAGTAATATAATAGGTAGAATAGGTAGATTGCTATTCGTGTTCTATAAGACGCAACAGGTCAGTCGAAGTAGTGAGTAAACAATACAAAATGAACGAAATCAATGAACAAGGTAAATAAACATAGTCAACAATGAACATAGTCAACAATGAACATAGTCAACAATGAACATAGTCAACAATGAACATAGTCAACAATGAACAAAGTCAATAATTAACATAGTCAATAATGAACATAGTCAACAATGAACATAGTCAACAATGAACAAAGTCAATAATGAACAAAGTCAATAATGAACATAGTTAACAATGAACATAGTCAACAATGAACATAATCAACAATGAACATAGTCAACAATGAACATAGTCAACAATGAACATAGTCAATAATGAACAAAGTCAATAATGGACAAAGTCAATAATGAACAAAGTCAACAATGAACAAAGTAAAATTTGGGTAAGTCAATCACTAAAGTCAATGGACTAAAGTATTGAACTAAGTAAAATAAACATTGTCAACAAGGAACAAGACAATAATGAACAAAGTCAATATTGAATAAGTCAATAAATCTACTGTCAACTTCACTACGCATATAAATCCTGTTGTATTCCCCCACTGAAATGATACTTATGTCAAGGTCACGTGTCTGTCAACACTACTCCCCACCCCACCCCCACCAATTATCTTTCCATCCCACGACCCACTGCCCCCAATCCGAAAGCCTGGAGGCCAGACCTGACACCGGTGTTGCAGTCACAGACACTAAGGTGCAAGCCTGGATGGGGAAAGTGCAGAAAAGTGAAGCGGGGCCGGGTGATATTATGTCAGAGCCTACTCTAGATCGAACTCTTCCAGTTGTACCTGTGTCGTTAACCTCCCTTGCCGAATTCTTTCCTGCCCATCCTTCAAATTACATTACTTAAAACTGTATAGGTTATTTTAAACCTATACGTGCCATCGCTATAGCACTAATAATACAAACACACACACACACACACACACACACATATATATATTTATATGTAATCAGAATAGTGACTTTATGCAAAATTATTTTCTAATTCCTGATAGCATAGAACGTTTTTCATCTTTGGCGCATTCACAGCAAGGACTTCGGTGTATTTGGTGTACACACTATAGGAAGTGACTATTTAGTTGTGTATTACGGAAGATATATGATAAGTTTGATGCGCATTTTAGCACTGCTGAAAAAAAACAACATCTCTTAACTATTCGGTATGGAGGACACAATACTATCAATATGGAAGAATTTTTAGAGACAACCTTATTAAAGGAGGAAGGCGTAACTGAGGTGCCCCCCTCCCCAGAGTAAAATCAAACCAGGCGCCATTTTGACTATTGGCATAGAGGAAGGTAGTTGGCAGAAGATGGCCACAGTTTGAGAGCTTCGCGAAGGTCGCGGGAAACTCATTTAAGTCCCAAAGTCCTTGTAGAAGACAGACTCAGTCAGAAGACGTTAAGAAATGTTATATAGACTCGGACATCGGCTTTCTCAGCATTAGACATGGAAAAATATGTAGGTCGCAACTCGGTTTGCTTAGTCATGTAAAACACATTATCCTTAATCCTGGGAATCGAAGACATTGCCATTAATAGAGGTTTACCCAACAAATATCAACTTGAGACATCTTAAATATATCATATCATATAATCTTCTTTTCGTTTTTGTATAACAAAAATTTTCGCTTCCTTTATATTGTCCACGCTATTCTCCTTATAGCTTACTCTTCTTTTTTTTTTCCCTTTGTCACTGTATTCAGATGCTAAATGAATGTAGACAGGATCTTAAAAATTGAAGAGTGCAAACAAAGAGCAGACCACTGTGATGAACTAGTGTCGTGAAAAATCACCAACGTACAAGAAAGTGTAACGAAATCGAGTAGAGTGACTAAACTTGTGAAGTCAGTTACATTCCCGCCTTACTCTGCCCACATGCCCATATCTAGACCACACCTACCTCGCCCTTAGACATGTCGTTACGAACAATAGGAGATGACTCTATGAGCTGCTATTGTCTTACCCCTTAAATATCACACGGGTTCGAATGGAAACTGGAACTCGGGCAATAAAATAATTATTTTTATATTTCTTATGAACACAATAGAGGAGAAATGAATCTGGGTCTTGTGCATAGATATGGTTATTTATTCGACGACTAAAAAATAAATGGTTGTTTAGGAATAGGTCTAAAAATAAATTGGAAAACTAATTTGATTCGTTTCAGAAGATCAAAAGGTGTTTTCGCAAACATCTTTCTGACCCAGCAGCGTAGCTAGGAATTTGCCATCATATGGGAGACTGAGCGGCTTGACCTCTTTGGCGTCCCTGCATTTTGCGTAATATTCTATATTTACTGTAAAAAACACTCATTTGGGTTCCCCTAAAAAGGGGGCCCGGGAGGATTTTCAAATTCTCCCCTTTCTCCTCCACCCTAGCTACACCTCTGTTCTGACCATGCAATCTATGGGGACAGGTGATGTAAAGTCCATCATTAAAGGTTAACTAGGATGTCATATGGCCAGCACAGCAATCAACCCCATTTACTTTCCTATTGCATGTCCCGTTAGAGTTGGGTGACCAAAACATCCCGAAGTCTAGTCCGGGATTTGAACTCTTTACCCTACTCGGCCACCACGCTCCATCTGCACGGTGAAAGAGAAGGTGAAATTGGATTTTTTTTTTTTGATCTAATGATGACAGACAAACAGACGAACGGATAACCTCCCCTGCCCCCCCCCCCCTCAAAAAAAACACACACACACCACTAAACAGGTTTCCTATCAGAGGCTCATAAAAATTGACTTGTTTAATGTCTAAAATTTAAATATTTTGGCCTTGCCTTATAAATTTCTCAGTTTGTAAAATTATAATGCCTAAACAAGCAATAGAAAGAAAAAAAGAACACTTAAGAAACAAAGCTTATTTAAGGGAAAGAACCGCTAATTACTGCCATTTACTGAAAATTACAGGGCTTAGCTCCCTTTCTACTATATAAAACAAAATTAATTAATTAGTACTAAATGACTGACTAATTGATTAATTTTTTTATTGACTCATGTATTGTCATGGATTATGAATAATTATAATAAAATTTCAACTTGATTTGAGAATGGGAAGTGGGAGAAAAACGTGTCAAAACGTAATAAGGGGACTAAATCCATATTTATTCACATCTCTCAGTTAGTAGCATTTTCCCCTTATTTCGAAATCTAACAAAATAATTAATCGCCAAACAATTAATTAATTGTTTAATTTTTTTGCTGTTGATTGATTCATATCTTGTCAGGATCAATGAATAATAGTGCCAAATTTCAACTTGATCCGAGAATGGAAAATGGGACAAATAATAATAACGAAATATGAAAAACTATAGTGTTCTCATTCAGGCCTGTGAGAGGGAGCTCTTGTTCACTTTTGCTGGCCAAGACCTCTAAGAGCCGAAGACTCAACTCTACCTGACAGTTTCAAGAAGAAGAAATAGCTTGATTAAGCTTGTCGCCTTGAAGATTAAGCAACTATATATATAAACACTGTTATTGTATCAACCGAGGAGGTGGTGACATTCGAGGCCCTAAACATCCCTAAGAAGATTCTCGTCACCTGTCAGAGGGCGGTACTGCTGCAGACCTGCCTCTGTGGCAATTTACGCATCGAGAGATTAGTATTTTCCCTTTGCAACTTCTTGTGTGACTAAAGAGGCCAATCCTTGATACATAGCTACGGTCACAGGTTGGGCAAATGTAATCACCAGGCGCCGTTGCATTTTCACCCTTCTTTCTGCTTCTGTTGTGTATGGCATCTGCAATCCGAGACCCTTCCTTTATGCTCTCTCTCTCCAAGTGGATCTGCCACATCAACAGAAATTTCCTCAGTGGACACTGATAAAGGGACTACAATGAATTTAATGAATTTTGTATCTCTTTAATGAAACTCGACCCTGACAGCGCAAGAGATTGAATACTTGTTTCTAACATAACAATAATAATAATATTATTAATAATAATTCGAATGTGATGTGTGGTCAAGGCCGAAAGTTGTTCATTTTATTTAAGTAGATTGGAATGCAATGCAAACACTCGAGTTTTGTGACCTAATCAAGCGCAAATAGTTGTGTTAATTACAATTTAAACTAACGATTACATGACGTAGCACGCGTGACCTAGTGAACTCTTGAGAAAAAAAATTGAATAAGCGAAGCATCAAGCTTTACTTAGTTTAATATAGTGAACAATTCAGTGCGGTTAGTGGAGTAATATATTTATAGATCTTTGACGTGTTTCGGGCATTAGTTGACAATGAACTTGAAAATATTCTTAAATCTAGTCTAAATCATAAACAGAGGCGGTCTAAAAAGGGAATGGGGGTGGGTGCGAGATGGGCAATATTTTGTCATTGTTAGCCCATTGTACAAATATTCGTGGCCATGATATTGACACTGGCCCAGGGCCCCGCGCTTCGCAAAGACCGCCTCTGTCATAAGACAGTGATGGTTAACCTAATTTCACTTGTAACGGCTGTGAGGCCATGTAATCTGTTCATACATGCATCAAGGCAGAATTAGTTTTAAAAAAATAAATTCGTCGAAACCTAATGCAGCTCTGTGTACTCTCGGTGACCACTGGGATTTTAAATTTTTGGACTTTATGGGCGCCCCTGAGTCCACCCCAGCTCTAATGAGTACCTGACATTAGTTGGGGAAAATTGAAGACGGTTGGTCGTTGTGTTGGCCACATGACACCCTCGTTAACCGTAGGCCACAGAAAAAGATGACCTTTACATCATCTGCCCTACAGACCACAAGGTCTGAAAGGAAAACTAGTCTTGGCAGATGGGTGATGATAACACCGTCTATGAGCTTCAATCATTAGTTTGGGTATCAGGGCATCCGTGGTTTAATGGATCCCTAAAACATTGACGCCGACTATGTGGACAAATGGTTATCTTGAAAACAGAGGTTTACTAGTCGACGTCAGCATCTAAACTCGATACACTATCATCCGAAGAAGATTTAATACCGTTGGACAATGGTTATGTCAGCGCTGAGTGTGGCAAAGTATGTAGGTCGCAGCTGGGTCTCCGCCCTTGAAACTATATCTATTAGCAATGTACACATTATTTCCCTTATTCGATCTCGAAAAAATAATAAATTACCAATCATTAATTGTCTAATTGAGCGTTTTTGTTTATTGATTCATGTTTTGCTAGGTACAATGATTACTTGTTTAAAGTATCAACTTGATCGTAGAATATGTGAAGGGGAAATAGAGTTAACAACT